AAATTTAAAAAATTTAGTTTTATTTTTTCTATTACAAAACGTTATTTATTTTTTACCGAATATTTTAGAACTTATTACATTCAATTTTAGCAACATCAGTTAAAATATGAACACCTTACTCATAGACTAAAATTATAGATTTATAACATTTTGGGGTTTCTTGGGCACACCTTCATACATTCATAAGTAAAATTTTAATGCCATAGTATTTGATCAAAACAAATAGTTTTCATTATATTTCCAAATATTTTTTATTTCATTAAATTGTATGGTAGTTCGGATAATTTTATTAATTTTACTATTACACTAATTAGTTACAAACACTGCTAAACAACTGGAACAGAGAGCCAGTCGTCGTGACAAAATAATTACAAGTTGTATAAATGTTCAACGTAACATATATAATGGTCATCATAAACTAAAAATAACCAATAACAAAATAATTAAAATAAAATAAAATTACTAATAAGTTACAAATCGTAAATAATATAATATATAAATAATACATTTATTAATTTCTCTAAATAATTATTACTGTCCGTTATTGTCCAGAAATAAATAAAGCTTAGAGTATTATTTTATTTGTAATGTATGACCGGTTTCAAATTACTAATCCATCATTAGTTATATACAAGGTCAATAAAATCCAGGCTATGCACTTATTTATTTATTAATTTAGTTATTTCTATGTATCATTTATTTATTTATGTATTAAAAATAATCACTATTAGTTGTATTTGTTCAAGAATTGGTCTAAAAATGTTTGCTTTACATATTTTCCGGAGTTCATTATTTCATTGAACTTGGATTTAAATGTCTCGATCCATTTCATTTGCTTTTTGATATTTTTATCATTCATACCAATCACAATTGAAGATAATTTACTTTCCGTTACATCGAGGATAACGCCTAATCTTTTGAATTCCATTTCAACGTAATATTTTTCACTTAATTCAAACGTAGGAAATTTATCGTGCATGACAGCATTGTTGAAATATTTTCTCACAAACGAATTTAATTGCTGAATAAGATAAATAAACGCTTTAGGAAAGTCATCTTTGGACAAAAGATCGGAATCGGTTAACCATTTGTACATTATAAGATGACTACTTAAGTTTATTTGATCAATTCTTAATAGACTAATAAAAATGTTCGTTTCATAGAAAACATTGGCCAAAATAAGCTTGTAATAAACGTCGTTTAATTCGTACAAGTATGAAGGACTCATAACGGTGTCACGTAAGTTGTTGAAAATATTTCTGAAAGTTCTCGTTTCTCCTCTCCAATAAAATAGTATCGAGTCCTTGTAAATGAATCCTTTCTTCAGTTGGGTTTCATAGAAATTATACAGATTGTTGAGCATCGATAACTGGGGGCCATTCTCGTTACCAGACTTCGAAACGAGCATCATTTTGGACAGAAAACTGTTCCGTTCATCCTCGCAACTTTGCTTGCTGTTCGGTTTAGATTCGATGTTGTTGATCAACATATATTTATACGACGGCGGTTGGCAGTGCCTCAGTCCGTACTTGTTTAATTCCGTCATGACCATGAATAAGTACGACAGCACTTCGGTGTATAAAAGAGCGTCGTTTTTCTGCAGGATACGGTTAAGGACGATAGCGTTCATTGGAACTATGTCGAAGAATATCTGATTGAGGGTGTTACTACGGTGATTAGTATCGAACAGATTAATTTTCAAAAGATTCGTGATGGTAGCGTTGATACTTTTTAGTTTAGCTACTCGCTCGTTCCAGCACATATAATTGGCTCTGTTGATAGTTCTGAGAGCTTTAATGCAATGTTTGTACACGGACGTGACGTACTTGCATGTCTCGCCCACCAGATAGATGTTATCCTTTATTTGCCGATAAGATTTTTGTTCGGATCTATAGTTATCAATTGACGCACCGGTCACATGTTCAGTTAAATTCTTCCATTTGTTCCTTGGGGAAATTATTTGTGGTTCTAATGTCCGCAGTTTATCCCTCACAAAATTGTGCACCGTAAATGATCTTTGCTTGTGAGGCAGGTAATATTTTTCTTTCTCCGCGTTTAGAAGCCTGAAAACGTTGGCCATACACTTGTAGTCTGTTATTTTGTTCATTAATGCTTCCAAGAATTGCTCCAGCGATGAAATCGATTCTTCGGCAATCACTTTCATTTCGAAATCCGGCAATCTCGAAGCTTCATATACTTCATCATTTTCCATTTCTTTTTCTGTTAGATAATTATTGAGTTCGGTCTCTAATTTTAGATAATCATTATGGGTTAAATTTTCGCCACGAGCTATAAAAAAGCGAAAACTATTGACTAGGCTTTTTGGCAAGTTCATAAAATCAGTAAACAAAAAGTTTAATACATTCAACTTTTCTATCGTATTTAGTTCGATCCAGTCGTCATCATTATTAATTTTGTCTAACAATTTTCTGCACACTATTTGTACAATTGCTTTATGAAGTATTCGCTGACACCAAAGCACCAAGTCCAGATTAAGTGAGATTTCAATGTCTGTGAAAAAATCTCTTAAATACACACGTTTATTATTCAAATATATCGCGAAATTGGATATTTCCCGAGCCACTAAATCATCATTGCTTAGAATAATATTTATGAATAACATTTGATCTACGTTGCATCGATTACCAGACTCAAATATGATTGAATTTATGTTAAAAAAAAAATAATCAATGTCTATTTCAGGCGAATCATATTTACTCATAGAGTAGCCATAGAATAGATTTTTGTCGTAATACGCATATGAAATATCACAGTTCAGTGCCTTAAACCGCTGGAAAGCATTTATCGAGTCGAGAATCAAAGGAATTATAACATGATCTGTTCCGTTGATTTTATTCGACGTCCCATCGTTCATGACACCACTGTTGCTTTTATACAACTTAATGATGAAATTCATTTTAAAATATAATAATAACAACGATCTTAAAAAATCTGTGTCGATGTGCATAGAATGAGTGTACATGTTTATAATGTTGAACAACATGTTTAGAAAGCGCTCAATTTTTTTTGTTATATTTATGACCGTTTCAATGCTAGTTTTTTTTCTAAATTCATCATTATCTGAAGTCAAAAATGTTGGATTATACAATAATGGAACACGTTCTATGAGTTCGAATAATTTATTATGAATCCAATCGCCAAACGTACATGATATACAAAAATAAAATTGAATTGATTTTCTGCGAATTTTGTCTGGATTTGATTCTATTTCCTTGTTATAATAATGCAACACGCATGACATATTATTAAAATTAACGTTATTTAAATTATCACTTTTCACAGTGACTTCGACATATTTACTTACTGTATATTCAAATCTATTTAAATTATCCGCAAGCACTTTGTATTTGATGATTATAAAACTCAGTAGAAGAGACGAAATTTGATTTTTCCACAACATTTTAACAATTATTTAAGACCTTAAGTATTTTGCGTATCAAACAATAAAAAATATAATGATACTTCCAAAGTTATACTGAGTTCATTTTATACATCGCATTGTTTATTCATTTTGAAACTTTTAAACTTATATATACAAAGCTGCACTTGAACCATATTAGTTAAACACACTTATCGAGGTTTTCTTCATAACGTAATCAACGCCGTATTTACAAATTTTTCGTGGAGGGGGTCTTGCTAATTTTTTAAAATATTTAATTAGGAGACATAGCATCCAATGTTGCACTTAAAGAGAAATGAAATTTATTACAATGTAATTACATAAAACTATTTTGATATTTATTCTTATTTATTTTTAAAAATATTTTTCAAAATTTATAAAACAAAATCCAATGCTCTAGGACTTCATATTTAATTGATTAATGGTTTTATCAACATCTACATTTAATTCCCGATGAATATTTATCATTGCTAGTCTATTTAGCCTCGTCTACATACAAATAACATTTAAAAATACAGTTATATTGTTATACATTAGATATTAAATATTTCTAAAATAATTAAAGATTACTTCGATCATCGTTGATCTTAGATATGTTTTCAACATTTTGAAAATGATCTTCAGATATTGCTACACTGGTAATATATAAAATAATTTAATTGAAAAATGTGTATTAAGATAATCAGTTTTAAAACTACTAAACTTTTAAAGCGCTTCTAATCCACTTTTGATATCTTTTAACATCTTGACTGGCTATTTTCATTTTCCGTACTTTTAATTCAACAAAAGCATAATCGTTTTAACTGATAGTGAATAGAACTCGATTAAATTCTTAAATCATCAACATCTGTAAATGTTAAACTAAATAAAAATTCAAGTCTTATAAAGTATATACAAAACATATTGAATACCAGTTTTTATATTTGCATACATAAATCAATATAGAATGAAGTATTTCTGAACCCATCTTGTGGCACATTTCCTTTAAAGTGTTACAGCATTTGAATACGGTATAGATTCGCTTTGTTCGATTTCATTGTCGACATAATTTTACACAACAAAGCACATTCGATTAATAGGAACATAGGAACAAATCTTTTACTATATTCTTGTATTTGAGCTAATCTATAAAATTCTATAACGTATTTATTCTAATTCATACCTTTTTTACTTAACGGGGAGTCAACTAATTAAATTAAATAAATCATTTAAATAAGAATAAACCGCTGCAACTCGTTTGCGCACAGTCAGGCCCGTCGCAAGAAATTTTCCGCCCTTCGGCAAACGTAATGCCGCCCCTTTCAATCAAAAGCTAATATAGTATACAATTTTATCACATTATTAACATATTATATTGTAACATATTACAAATTAAATTTTAAATTATTGTTGTATTTAATAAATTTCAAAAAGTTAATACAATATTGTTATTTCCATAAATTAATAAACGTCTTATATCTATGATGATAAAAATAATAATCTTATAAAGTTATAATATTAATAAAATAGTTAATATAAAATATGTATTTCAACTTGAGTTATAATTTTTACAATTCACAGCCCACAGAAGTGTACTAAACTAAAAATTAACTTTCCTTGCTTTTTTTGAAGCAAAGTCTTGAACGATGTCTTCTAAATCCAATTCTTGCGCCAAATCGGACTCAATGGATAACAATGCTAACCCGGTCAACCTTTCATTGCTCATGGTAGATCTGGGGTGGATTTTAATAAGTTTCAACTTAGAAAAACTCCTCTCAGCTGACGCTACAGTGACCGGAATCGTTAGAACGATTCTCAAACTAATTGTAATATTAGGGTAAATCTCTTGTAATTTTTTATTATAAATAAGCTCAAGATTTTTGTTGGGAGAACTATTTGGTTCAGTAAGTTGACAAAATATTTTTAGTTCTTCAAATAGTTCTACTGCGTCGATATCGGATGTTTCTTTTGCTGATAATAAAATAGCCAAATCTTTGCAATGATTTAATAATGTTTCGTGCTCCCAGTTTTTTAATAAATTAATATTGTATAAGAATCCAAAATTTAAACAATGGTGGTTTAACAGATCAAATCTTTCTTGCAAAGAATTAATGGCTGTGTCTATTATTGTGTGGAAAAACTTTACTTCAAATTTTCTTTCTGGATTATGAAGAGGCGTTTCATCTCTGTTTTCATAGCTGAAATGTGTTTTTTTTTTTTTGTCGTTTACGTACTTGATATTCTTCAGGAAATTGTCCTGGTATTTCTATTAATAGAGCAATTTCTTTTGCAGCTATTTTAACTTTGGGAAACCCATTTTGACGGTATTCTTTTAAAAACTTTACAATATTTGATACACTTTTAAGGGCCATTTGTATATCATAATGTATAGATTGCAATTGTTTACTTATTGGGTTAACAGCACTCAATATATCATACCAAACAATGACAGAGGATATAAATTTAAAGTCACAGATATTTTTTAAGAGAGCACATGCATCAGATTTTGTCTGCAGACCATGTGAACCAGTTAAATTCAAATCTTCTTTAATGTGAAGCAAAGCATCATAAATTTCTCCAAATTTATGCCGTATTGGCCTTATTGCATCAATTTTTGATTCCCAACGTGTATCACACACTCTTTTTAGTGTTAATTTTGGCTAAAATTGTAGTAAAACTTTCCATCTATCAGTAGACGCTGAAAAAAAAA